GTGACTTGGTCGCCAGGTCCTCTTGCTGTGCGTGGCGGCTTGGTCGCCAGGTCCTCTTGCTGTGCGTGGTGCCTTGGTCGCCAGGTCCTCTTGCTGTGCGTGGTGCCTTGGTCTCCACGTCCTCTTGCTGTGCGTGGCGGCTTGGTCGCCAGGTCCTCTTGCTGTGCGTGGCGGCTTGGTCGCCAGGTCCTCTTGCTGTGCGTGGTGACATGTGATGTGACATTTTTCACATTCTGTGTACCACATCATACTAGGGTCGGGAACCAGGATCTTGACGTAGGAGGACGAGGCAGGCAGTGAGAGCCCTCGGTCAGCAAGTGAGAGGACAGCAGTCCCCTCCTGCGCTGCCCCTGAGAGGCTGAGGCGGTGGACTGTCCAGCTCCTGGGGGGTGAGGACGGCGCTGTCCCGGCAGTTCTTCCCTCAGGGCTGAGTCTGGAGGACAGTTCTGTGGAGTCCTGCCTCCTGGTGACAGTAGGAAGCCCCCGCACCCCGGGCGCCCTCCACTGCTGTGGTGCTGAGCAGCGGCCTCCAGACCCCCAGGCCCTGGCTCTGGGCCCAGTGACGGCCATCTTCAGCAGACGGGCTTCGCAGCTGTGAGGGAGCCCAGGATCTGGGGACCCTCGGGGCAGCCGCGGGGAGCGGGGGTCTCGGGGAGGTGTGGGGGCCGTGAGCAGGTGAGGGAGTGGGCTTTGTCTCCTTCCTGCTGGGCTCAAGAGCACCGCGCTCCTGCTGGTGGCCGGAGCACCAGGCCTCGGCTCTCCGCCAGCCCCGGGCAGAGTCTCTCTGGGCTAAATCCAGGGACTGGGTGACCAGCCCCTTCCAGAGGCTCCAGGGTGAGTCCATTCTGGGGCTGCCCATGCCTGGCCTTTCCTGTGTCCTCAGAGCCAGCAGTGCAGGTCCCCCACCTCCCTCTTGCCTCTCATGCCACCCTCGTGCCCACGCCCCTCACGCTGGCCCTCCCTCTGGTAGGAGCCCCTGACTGCACTGGGCCCTGCCCTCTCAGGTCCCACCGTCACACCTGTAGAGTCCCCTGAGCCACCCATGACCACGCAGGTGTCCTTGAGCCTGAGCCTAGAGTGGACACAGGGCCTTTGTGGAGAGGGAGAGCCCCTGGGATGTCTGGGTGAGAACTCAACCTGGGAAGCACCCCGTGCGGGTGTGGACGGGGACGCACTGTGGTGACCTGGCCGGCTGCTGGGCGGAGGGGTGAAGCCTCACGCTGCAGAGGCCGCCCTGAGGGGGGCAGCCCACCTCACCAGAGCCCGCTGCTCAGGCCTAGATGACCGTGAGGGGGTCAGCCCGACGCCGTGGCATCCCTGATGCCTGCTGGGCCCCTGCCACAGCTGCCCCACGGAGGGCCAGCAGGTCTGGGCGCTCCCTTGCAGAAGGGCTGGTGCAGTGGACAATCACAGGGAAGCTGTCAGGTGGACCCCGAAGAGGGACCCTCCGTGGGGCAGCTGTGGAGGCGTCGCCACAGGTCAAAGGGGTGGAATGTTCTGGATTACATGGAGACGTTAGCACCAAGTGCCCCGTGGGGATCAGGCTGGATGACCAGCCTGCCAGGGGCAGCTCAGGACAGCGGGGAGGGAGGTCAGCCTGGACCATGGGCGCAGAGGTGGGAGCACATGGGGCGGGCAGGCCAGGTGTGGAGAGGGCGACGCGTCCTGGCAGGACGGGGGCCTGGGGGTCCAGCTGCAGGCGTGGGGGCACACGGCCTCCTGCTCACAGGCACCGGACACCACGTCCTCTGGGCAGAGGGCTGGCTCTGTGCTGCTCGTGGGCCCCCGGCAGGGCCCAGGCTTGTCCTGAGCCTGGATGCTGGCCGATGGCCCTGGGCTCCCGCGGTTGCCTGGCACTTGATCTTCATGAGGGTCAACAGTGTTCTGGGTACAGCAGGCCCACGCACCTCAGCTACCGGACCGGAGTCTCCAAGCTCAAAGGGCCGGGTGCCGGGCCCCCGGGCTCCATCATGCTGCCCGTGGGCGTCTGTCTGAGGGATTTCGAGTGGAGGTGGACAGGGACGAAGGGGGCCTTCAGCAGAACCAGGGCTCAGCGGCTGCCTGGGATGTGGGTCTTAAACAAAGGGAAACCTCATGTCGGTGCCGTGACATGAGGGAAAGAGTCTGGAGAACCCCGTCCTCACCCTGCAGGCCCAGGCCGAGGCGGCTGGTGGTCTCCACTCGCTCCTCGTCCTTGGCAGCAGAGGTTTGGGAAATGTGTCCAGTGACAAGCTGTCTGACTCGGTATCTCTTCTGGCTAGGAAGGACCACGTGTCTCCTTCTGCCTAATAGGATATGACAAGTGTTTCCAGAGGCCCAGAGTAAGGGACATCCTTTCATGTGGAGCCTTTATTAAGGGTCCAGACAGCTCCTTAGTGGAGAAGAGCCTTTTTTTTTTTCCTTTCCTGCTATCTGTAACATTCTTATACTGGCTGGAGCTCTTGCAGTTGTTTTGGACCACGAGGCACCCCACAGGGCGAAAGCTTTGCACAACAGACCCGACAGAGAGAGGATCCGGGTTTCTGTTGACTGACATGTCACAGGCTCCTCTTGTTTGAGAGAATGAAGCCCTCAAGGCTGGGCAGTTCTGTGGTGAAGGCTCTGCCACTGTCGGCCAAGCGCAGCCTCTGAGCGATGCAGCCTCAGTCAGACTTGCTTTCCCTCTTTCTTACCTGGCCTTGGACTTGCCTTAGTGCCACCTGTCCTTGCTCTGTGCACAGCTGACTCCGTCCTTTCCCTCTTCATCTGTGCACTTGCTCAGGGTTAACAGCTGCTCAGCTGTCTGTGCCGGGTGACCTCGACCGTCTCCTAGGTGCCGGGCGCCACAAGAGCAGGCAGGACGCGGCCAGGCGGGTCCCTGCTCCTGCAGTGGCAGGCTGAGGGCCATTTAGAAACTGGAGGAGGCAGACAGCGCCCTCGAGCGCAGAGCTGAAGAGCCTCCACCGACGGAGCTGGACCAGCGTCCACAGGTCACCCACGTGGGACGCAGACTCACACCAATGGACACAAACCAGACCAGGCCACCCTGAGACAGTGTGGCCTACAGACGTCCCTGGGACAGAGGGTGACATCTCATGCCTGCCTCAGGGGAACAGCCACCACACGTCCTTTTGGTTAGTCTATGACCTGGACCCCAAACCCAGGGACGGCACGGGGAGAGGAAGAGTGGAGGGCTCCATCGCGCAGAAAGCACAGGAAGCTGGGCGCGTGGCCAGGCCTGGGATCCCAGCGGCTGGAGGGGCTGGGGCAGGAGGACCGCGAGTCAAAGCCAGCCTCGCCACCCACTAAAGTGAGGGCCTTCTCAAAGATAAAAGGGGCCGCGCATGTGGCTCAGTGGTTACGTCCCCCGGTTCAACCCCTGGTGCCAAACATTCACACACACACTCTACATACACTCACACAGTCACACACACACACACATTGTCACATACACACCCACATACATACATTCACACACACACACACACTGTCACATACACACCCACATACATACATTCACACACACACACACACTGTCACATACACACCCACATACATACCTTCACACACACACACACTGTCACACTCACATACATACACTCACACTCACACACACTGTCACACACTCACATACATACACTCACACACACGCACACTCACACACACACACACACACACCCTCTCAAACACTCATACTCACACACTCAAACTCCAGGCCTCAGGAAGTCCGGCTCACTAGTGTGCCCTGCGGCCCATCTTGGACGCGGGCAGCTTGCTTGGGAAGTCTTTCAGGCAGATCTGCCTTCTGTGAGGTCAGGGGAATGTGGCCATTGGGGAGGGGACGCACGGTGGCCTGTGGGGGTGTGCTGAGCCCTGGAGGTCGAGTCTTGGTGCAGGCTGGTTGTGCCCTGGTGGCTGGGGTGTGGGCCAGCCCTGGGTGACCGGGGAGGTGGCACACGGAGCCCAGTTCATTTCTGTGTGGCCCTGGGGTATGTGTGGGGGCAGTCACCTACCTTCACCACGGTGACCATGCCCTCGTTGGTGACAGGGTCTGTGCGGACGCTGAAGTGCCCCGACGGGTCCCCGCTGATGATGCGGTAGACGGCGTTCCAGTTTGCCGAGTGGGGCTGGTCCCGGTCCATCACGGTGAGGTTGGCGACCACCGTCTCTACCCGGTTTTCAGGGACCTCCCCTGCAAACTGTAAAAGGTCAGGAAAGAGAAGATCACAAGCCAGTGTGGGGCCGGGAGGCCTGGGACTCCTGTCACACCTGGGAGGTGCTGGGCCACCGCTCCAGGCCAGGGTGACGGGGGTGGGGGGCACGTGGGGCATCGAGGGTGGGCTGCAGGGCTCCAGAGGCCAGCGGTGCCTTGGGTCCTGGTGCACAGATGGAGATGCAGCAAGCCCCGCCCACAAGGGGCCAGGCCCCGCCTCCTGAGCACAGATGCAGACTCAGCAAGCCCCGCCCACACAAGGCCAGGCCCCGCCTCCTGAGCACAGATGCAGACTCAGCAAGCCCCGCCCACACAGGGGCCAGGCCCCGCCTCCTGAGCACAGATGCAGACTCAGCAAGCCCCGCCCACACAGGGGCCAGGCCCCGCCTCCTGAGCACAGATGCAGACCCAGCAAGCCCCGCCCACACGGGGCCAGGCCCCGCCTCAGGCCCTGCCCAGCCTTTCCTGGGGGTGCAGAGACCAGTGCAGACACAGTGGGAGGGCATGGGACAGCGTGTTGGGCTCACAGGTGGGAGAAGGCCGTGATGGGTGGCAGGTGTGAGAGGCTTCTGGAATCAGAATCATCTCTGGGCTCCTTCCGTCCCCCATGTCCTGTCACCGGGTTGGGCTTGGGGTTGTCCTTTGTGGACAGGTGACCAAACGCGGGGCCATGGCCCCTCCTCCTATCACATCAGGGAGGGCTGCAGCCCCTCCTGCCAGGCACCCTGAGCCAGGGAGACGGTGTGGCGTGTAGGCCTGTAAGTGTGCCCGTGAGTGTGTGAGCGTGTATGCCACTGGCCACGAGCTGAGATGGGTACTGACGTTTGAAGCAGGGGCTGCGTCTGTCCTGCCTGGGCCTTTGAATGCACGCGGTGGCCTGGACACGGAGCCCAGGACACGGAGAGCCCAGCCACGGCCCTCCAGCTCCCGAGGGCCTGGGACCTCAGGGGTCCTGCAGGAGCAAAGCCGCGACCTCCCACCTCGGTCCTGGGTCCTGGCCTGTCGGCCTGAGCTTCCCAGGGGCTGTGGTCAGCCAGGGGGACAAGCCAGGGGGCCAGACGCACCCGTGCCGCTCTGGGGAATAGGTTTGTTGGTGCGGATCCTGTCTTGTACTTTCGTCTGTCTCCTTTCCTACCGAGGGTCAGAGCCGAGTAGCCAGCACAGAGGCGGTATGGCCACCCTCTGGCCCTTCATAGAAAATGGCTGCAGATCCCTGTTCTAGACCCCTGTGGCTCCATCTCAGTGCCTGCTCAGAAGTGGGCACCTCGCCCCAGCAGCCATTCAGGACTCAATTCTGGTGTTTCTGCCTCTGTCCTGCACACTGTGACCATAGGAGCCTGCAGGTGTTGGGGTGGGTGTGGTGGTTTGTGTGTGGGGACTGCCACACACAGCTTGGGAACAAAGCAGTCCAGAGCAAGTGTGGCTGAAGAGGGGCCCTAGTGATGCTGTTGGAACCTGGATACAGCCATGCCTGAAGTCATGCTTCCCAGGACCTTTCAGCCTCTGTCTATGAAGCCCTCTCTTTGTTCAAGCTGCCAGGGTCAGTGTTGTGGACACTGGTCAGGCTTCCTGGCTCTCCAGCACCTTCTGAACTCTTCATTATTCCTAGCCTCCTCTGTAGCCACATCGAGGCCAGATGACTTAGGACCTGCCCTTGTCTGACTCCCAGTACCTGGTGCTGTTCGCAGGAGGGGCCTATTTAAGTCACGTGGGTTCCCAGAGAAGGGCCTGGTGGACACCTGCTTAGGACCCTCTCAGTCACCTTCCTAAATGTCCAGGTTTCTGGGTGCAGGGAGAACCTCTCAGCCCATGGCAAGCAAAGGTGGTGTCCGGTCTCCAGGGTCTCCCCAAGGGGTCTCCGCCTGGGAGGAGCCAGAACCCAAGTGCACGGGGCCCAAGTGCAGGGGGTCCCAGCTTCTCCGAGGCCCTTGGAGCACAGTCCCAGCTCGAAGCAGAGACCACTGTCCAGTCCAGGGGAGGCCCCTTAGCAACCAGAGGGCTGGGGGTGGGGGGGCGTGTGAGGCACAGCCAGGTCCAGGGAGAACCTGCTCAGTGTCCTGCCTCACGGCCAGTGGCCTTCGAGGTGCCACATTGGCAGGACCCCAGGAAGGCCCTGGTACCTGCTCGGGGAGCAGCCCCACCTTCATTGTCTGGTGAAGTGTCCTTAGAGCCTGTGATTCAGTTAAGGAAACCCAGAGAGGTTGGGCAACCTGCCCATGGTCACACAGCTCTCAGTGGTGCAGCAGGGGCTCCCCACACAGTGTGTCTGAACAGGCAAGGCCCATGCTGCCCCTGCTCTGGCTCCTGTGGGCTACAGAGCAGGAGGACCCTGCCAGGTGACAATGCCCAGCCCCTGCTCGCCTTCCCCTCTGTTGTTGCTGGTAGCAGTGTCAGGGCCAGCTGGTGGCTGCAGGGTGACAGCAGAGGACAGCGTGCTCTGCTCTCAGAGCGGGCCTCAGCCTGAGGGGACTGCAGGGGACAGTGTGTTCTCCAGGAGCCCTCACCCAGGCCCCAGCTGCAGAGGTCAGTCCTCGCATGGGCTTGGGTGTCCTGCAGTGGCCCTGAGCCCGCGCTGCCCGGCAGTGTCTCCTCCCTGGAGGCCCTGGTCCCAGCTCAGGCAGGCCCCTCGGGGAAGAGCCGCAGGGCAGCGTGGCCAGTCCTCTGCCCCAGGTTCCTTCTCCACGTCTCCCAGTGGGGCTTGGTCCCCGGGCGGCCTGCGCCCTCACGGCAGCTCTCCTGCCTGGAGCAGGGACAAGGAGACCGTCCCCCACTGCCCCGGCGCCGAGCCGCCTCTGCAGCCTTTGTTGCCTCAGCCGCTCCAGCCGGGGTCCTCACGTGGGCGGGGTCCTCTGGCCACTCCCCTGCACAGCCCTCGTTCAAGGGCAGTAGGGGCTGTGCCCAGCCTGGGCTCAGTGACCAGGGCACTTAGGGGCGGTCAGGCCTTCTTGCTGGTCCTCTGCCCAGTGGGAGCTTGGGGACCCTCCCTGTGATGAGCACAGCACAGCGGCCCTGGCCACCCAGGATGCCGGCTCTCGCACCACGTCTCCGTTCCTGAGGTTCCGTCCTCTGCAGTCCACAGGCAGGGTGTGGGCCCTGAGGCTCTTCCCCAGGAGGAGCTTGCAGGCCGGGTTCTGGCCTCCTCTGTCTGTGGGTGGGATCCTGCGGGCCTGGGGCAGGGGTGGCAGGGCCGGGGCCGTGGCTAGTGGGCAGCGTCTTCCATCAGAGCAGGCTGCGTGGGAGTCACGAGCAATGGGAGCCCAGTGTGCTGCCCAGCAGCCGCCCCCAAGGCCTGTCCACCTCCCCACCCACCCCGTCAGGAGGAGCAGTCAGGAAACTGAGGCCCAGAAGGCTCTGGAACCCACCCAGGCCAGCACTGGCCAGTGGGGGCCAGGGTGGGGCTGGGTCTGCTGCAGTGTCCGCGCTGGACCCATCGCCACCTCCCCCTGCCTGCAGCTTGGTGGGCCAGGCCCGGAGCATCCCAGGACCGTGGAGAGGTGACCCCAGGCCTAGGAATCTTCCTGTGTCCCCACACGGGGACCACCCCTCCCAGAGGACAGGGGCCTGTGCTCTGCCTTCTGTCAGGCCTGCTCCCTGGGCTGGGCCTGGGTCCCTCACCCCTGCTCATCATGAGGCCACAGCTGTCCTCAGGAGTGGACTCTGGCCTGGTGGGAGGGTCAGGGAGGGAGTCGAAATTGGGTGGGGATGGGAGATCTGACCCCTGGCCCTGCAGCTCAGAGGGGCCAGCGCTCAGGGGGGCCAGCGCTCAGGGGGGCCGGCACTCAGGGGGGCTGGCACTCAGGGCGACTGGCTCCAATGACCCCTTTGCAGCTGAGGTCTGCACCGCACACCTGAGCCCGCTCAGGGGCACCAGGTCCACTCCAATTTCAAGATGCCACCGTCTTGTTCTCAGAAAGCCGTGCTGGTCAGAATTTCTCTTCTGGGTTTGTGCCCTTAATGGAGGAGCTGGAAGGTGGGGCTCACTCTCAGGCTGAGGTGCCAAGGTGGCCACTAGTGGAAGCTGGCCTGGACCAGTCCAGCAGTCCCAGGGCAGTGCCAGGCCAGCCTGTGGTGCTTCTGGCCCCCAAACCTCAGCCATCTCCCGGCACCAGGCAGACCCTGGGGACAGCCCTGCTGCGTGGTCTCCAGGCTCCTGGGCAGACCTCGACTCCTGTCCAGCCTCTGAGCGAGGCGTCTCCGTGAGACCCCAGAGGTTTAGATCACGTCCCCTGAAGACCAGTGCGGGAGGCCTGGCCCCAGACCCTGGTGCTGCTGGAGGGGCCAGCCCGAGGAGGGGGCTGTGCAGGACGTGAGGCTGGGCGCCCTCGGGAGGGCGGGGACCGGGCCCTGGGCAGGAGCAGCCTTTCTCCCCCAGGTGCTCCCGCCACCACGGGCCCCGACACAGGTCCAAGGCCGCAGGCCAGACCACCAAGGACTCCACCAGAGTGAACCCTCAGCACCAGCTGCTGTTAGCCCGGAGCCGACACCGCGGTCACCCCTCCAGCCTGCGGGTCCTCAAGTCTGCCTGTCCTCACGTCCTGCTGGGAGGGACTGGGCCACTGTGGTCTCCCACCCGCTCAGAACCATTTGGCCCAGTCTGTCCTCACCCAGAAGGGACCCTCCAGTGCCAGCCCACAGCACACGCAGGCTCCCTCTCATCTCCCGGGACTTCAGGCGTCAGCAGGGACGAGCCTGCGTCTCCCCCACGCCCCTGGTTCCCCACAGCGGAGGACAGGAAAGGCTGTGGCTACTGCTCAAACCCCTGCCCTTGGGGACCCATCTGGGCAGGACTCTAGGCCTCTGGATGCCCAGCAGGAGGCCAGCGCTGTGTGGAAGTTGAGGGCCCAGCGACCATTCGGTTCACGTGGGCCCCGAGCTCGGAGGGATCAGCCACACAGCTAGGAGGGACGGAGAGGGGCTCAGGTGGCCTGACTGCAGGAACGCGCCTGGGGTGGGGGCGCTGGCTGGAGGGAGGCCAGCTGGTGTGGGCTCCACGGCTGCCCAGGGCTGGGGGCACGGCCCCAGGGCTTCACCCCAGGACCCCCAGAGGTGGCCAGCAGGAGACCCCTGGGGTGGCATCTGAAGGGGGTGTCCACCCCAGCAGACCCTGCAGTACCCTGGGAAGGAGGGCAGCCACTGGACAAAGAGCAGGCCGTGTGCTTCAGTGGGCAGGGCAGTGGCCGCTGGAGCAGGAGGGAAAATGACCTTCATTAACAGTTAGGAACAGGGGGCTGGGCGGGGGCTCAGAGGCGGAACGCTGGCCTCGCGAGGCCCTGGGTTTGATCCTCAGCACCACATGAAAATGAATAAATAAAACTAAGGTGTCGCGTCCATCTGCAGCTAAACATCAAGACAAACAGTGGAACAGGGCGGGTCTCTCAGCCCCAACTTCCTCCATCAAGCTTGATAAGAAGCTGGGATGCGCATGTGCCAGTGTGGCCAGCCTGCCCCACCCTCTCCACCACGGGGCAGTGTCCCAGGGCTCCTGCCTGTCACATCGTCACACCTTGAGCCTGGATTTTGCAGACAGGCACACTGCAGACGGCGTGTAGAGCTGGTAGCAGAAGGCGAGGACTCTCTGTCCGTCTGGGTCAGGACCACAGTCCCCTTGTCCCCGCCCTGCCCCAGCATCCCAGGGAACGGCTTCTCTACCCTTGGCCCTGGGGGCAGGGAGGTGGGGATTCTCGGGAGGGGGGGACGCTCCGTGTCATCTTGGGCCAAACACAAGATTTAACCCCAGTCTCAGAGTATCTCAGGCAGACCGACAAGGGACAGCCTGGGGTTTGTCTTGATGTCCAGCATGAAGAAGGGTGGACACTTGCTCCACAGAGCTCCTTCCTCCCACCTGCCCATCACTGATGCCCGGGCCACACTAGGACCCTTGATGGGGGATCTGGCCTGGGTTCCCGTGTGGCGGGCATGCCTCAGGGAAGGTGGAGTCCAGCCCAGGTGCAGGTGAGGGACCCGGGCAGGCCATCCAAGCTGCAGAACCAGCCACCCCAGGCTGCCCTCTTGCTGAGCTAGGTGAGGCCCACCCTGGGCCCCGGCTCTCCATCCATCCCTGCAGCTCCCAGCCCTCCTAGGTCAGCAAGGCCTCCTCCAGAGCACCTGGGAACAGGCTGGGGCTCAGCATCTCACGCACCCTAGGGCTCCTGCACTCCCATCCACCTGCCAGGCGCCCCCTTCCTGTGGGCATGCTGGGCCAAACCCCTCAGCACCCCGCGCCTCGTGCCCTCTGCTGGAGGGGCGCAGAGCTGGCCTGGCCCCTTCCACCTGGTTTCCATGACAGCCACATGGTCCTCAGCTGCTTCCTGGGGGCAGTGAGGGTCCCTGGGGTGGGGAGAGCAGCCACAGCTGCTGCACCCCAAGATCTAGACACCAGCTGGCTGTCACCACGCAGGGTGTGTCCCTGGGACCACGCCCTGTCCCGAGCCCCTGCCCTGGGGCAGCAGGAGCCCTCAGCACGGAGGGGCGGGCGGCCCTGGCACTGCTCTGGGGCAGGTTCATGCCAGGTTCGTGCCTCCTGCTCCCTGCTCAGGTCACCTAGGTGGGCTTCCTGCTCGGGGGTAGATGGTGCCCTGGATCCTCTCGTGTGGGGAGAGCTTGCTCAGGGAGGGGCCGACACCCCGGCCAGCAGCACCCCTGCGTCCTCACGGGGGGTGGGCTCTGCTCTGCTTGGTCTCCTTCCAGAGTGGGGAGGACAGCTGCCCACTGGGGGGGAGAGCAGGTAGAAACTGCAGCCCGAGAGATGGACTTTCCTCCAGCCGACGCCTCCCTGGCCAGAGGACCAGCGCTTCCCCAGGCCGGGCTTAGTGGGTCAGCACGCAGGGCCCCTGCTGCCCTCACTGCCCGTGCAGGTCTGAGGACTGGAGCCTGTGGGGGGCGCCCAACCCCACCTGGTCAGAGGGTGGACTGGCTGCTCCCCCACGGGCCAGCTGCACCTGTCCCCTAGATGGCGCTGCGACCCCATCTGGCCCAGCAGGACACAGGAGGGCGCTGGGGGAGGAGCTCCGGGCTTCCAGCATTCCTCAGCACCGCTGACCTGCTCACCAGGAAGGGTGTCCTCCCTCTGCCCCTGCCCCTCTCTCCCCTGGTGGCCCAGTATCTGGGGCCCAGAGCCACCTGCTTCCTCTGGGCTGTGTGTCACCTGGGTCCCCGTGTCCTGGTGCACAGATGGAGACGCAGCAAGCCCCGCCCACACAGAGGCCAGGCCCCGCCTCAGGGGCTTGGTGGCTGCTTGATGGGCGGGCGCTCCTGGCTGTGCTGCTGTGTCCCATGGACACTGTCCCTCTCCACTCTGCCCTCAGGGGGAGGTCGGCGCAGCGAGGGGTCGTGTGTGGGTGAGGAGAGCCCTCCCCCTGCAGCCCTGGTCTTGGCCTCTTGGAGGCAGCTGGTTGGACCACGTGCCTCTCATGTCAGCCTTGCTCACAGGGCCTGCAGGACGGATTGGGGATGCAGTGCCACCCACCCACAAGGCCTGCGGAGTCCTGTGGAGGGTGCTGGGGAAGGGTGTCGGAAGCCTGCAGACCTTTGGGTGGCACAGGAGGCCAACAAGGCCTGCCAGGCCTGAGCCACGGGGCTCACCAGAGGGGACTCTGCGGTGGCTTGGTGCTCTGAAGGACTCTGGAGGGAGTGGAGCCTGGGCATCAGTGCCAACCCTGGAGGACAGTGTCCCTGTGCCTGGGCAGGGGGCCCATAGGCCAAGCTGAATAGGTGCACACGGGTCCACCCAGCAGACCCGACCAGCATGGCTGCCCTCAACCGTTTCCCTCTCTGCGGATGGGCCACAGGGGTGTCCACTGTCCACTGTCATGCAGGGCCGCTGCACACAGCTGCACATGGCCTCCGCAAGCAGCGGGAGGTCAGTCGGGCCTGCTGCTCCCCTCTGGGTGCCACGTCCCTTACTCCCAGGGCTGAACTGGAGCCCCAGCTCCCTGCCCAGGGCCCTTCCCTGTGGAGCCTCTGGCCGCTCTCCTCCAAGGGGACCTGCCCGGGAGCCCGCCGAGCCTCAGCTGCCTGTGCCGGGGCCATTCCATCCACGACCTGTCCAGCTCCTCCACCCACACAGGGCGAGGGAGAGACGCGTCAGCAGTGGCCAGCCAGCAATGGTCATCAGAGCCCTGCGGGCGCCGCGGCGGCCTCGGTACTCACTGTGCTCGCGGTGAATTCGGGGGGGTTGTCGTTCACGTCTGTCACCGTGATGATGGCCGTGGCCGTGTTTGAGAGCCCGTAGTTGAGGTTGCCTTCCATGTCGGTGGCCTGCACGATGACCGTGTACTGCTGCACTTTCTGGAGGGGAGGGTGCGAGGAGGAGAGGTCAGCCTGGCGTTGGTGGACAGGGTGCCCTTGCTGCTGGGGCTGGTGCAGAGGGCCGAGGACAGCCCTCTCCAGAGTCTGGGGCTGAGGCTGCCTGCGGGAACTGTCCTTTCCCTTGGGGCAGTGACAGGTGACAGGAGGAGGTCGGCTCTGTCTCCATCTCAGGGCCCCTCAATGGGCATGGGTCGCCTTTGGTGCCAGATGAAACAGGGGCCAGAGAACCTCGGCACGATCCTCTGTTTGGAGGAGCAGAGGGGGAAGTTGGCCAAGGGAGGCCCAGGCCAGGGCCACGGCCACGGGTCGGGGTGCCTCGCTGAAGTGCAGGCAGGACTCAGGCGGGAAGGAAGACGGGTGGGGAGGTCTGGGCCCCAGGTGTGGCTGTGGGAAGACGTGCGAGCCGGGCAGCTCCTGCACGTTCCCACGCAGCGGGCCTCGGCCTCTCGCTCCCGGCCCGTGGGAGTGCAGGATGCTGAGCCCTGTCAGCAGCGCTGGCCTGTGCACACCCCTCCCTGACTAGAGGCCAAGGCTCTTGCAGCCTGGTGGGCAGCTGTCTGTGGGACCTGCCCGTCTCTCACTGGCACCATGTGGGCAGCAAGGGTTCTGGGGACCAAGGCAGAAAGGGGCCCTCTACATGCCCTCCAAGTGCTGCATGAACCTGACTCTTGCTCCTGCAGGATGTGAGCACAAGACCAGTGCCCAGTACCCAGTTCACTGAGATGTGCCCGGGGAGTCCCAGCAGTCTCTGCTGCCCGGGTAGCCTCTGCATGCAGGTGGACGTGTGCAGAGTCCAGTCTGCACCACTTGGACTGGCTGCCCTTGGCAGCTGCTCTGCTGGGCTCTGCCACAGAGGCTGGTGCAGGCTCATGTGACCGGGCACCGCCTCGCTGGCCTTGGGCATAGTAGCACTGCTCATGGCAGAGGGCCCTGTCTGAGGGCCCTCGGGCTCCCAGCACAAGGCTGTGTCTCTGTCCATCCCCGTGGAGACCCACCCGCCCACGCCAGGCAGTGTGCCTCCCGGTGCTTCCTCCCTTTGCCAGTGGGTGTTGGCGCTCCCAGAGGCGGGAAGGGCCTGGTGTTGTGGCACTGCGGGCTTGGCTTCCGGCGCTTGGCTTCCGGCTGGGACGCTGCAGAGACGGGCTGAGGCGGAGGCACCACATTGGCAGCAGGCTACAGAAGTGAGTCCAAGCACCGGGTGCCCCCACCCCATCCCATCTCTGCCTCTCTGCCACTGGACGGGCAGCATCGTGCAGGCAGCCTTGTGGCTGGAGACAGAGGACGTGTGTCCGGGCAGCAGGCGCCTCTTTGGAGACTGTCTTCATTTCCACTGGTTTCTCTAGTTCTTTAAGAGTCTGAGTTTCTCCCCTTCCAGCTCACCCCCAGTAAGAAGGAGCCTAAGCTGCATGGGTTCTCAGCACCTCTTTCCAAGGCTGGACAGGCACTGCAGGTCCCTCCTTGGATCCCAGGCGCCCGTCCCAGGGCCCTCTGCACCTCCCGCTCTCTGTGCACTGGTCTGTGAGGCTTCGCCTCCCCACTGCCGTGTGGCCTGGCAGAAGGGGCCAGACCGAGAGCCTCGAGAACAACACAGGCCGAGGGCCGCAGGAGGGATAATCAGAGGACAGGAAGAAGGCCACCAGAGGACCAGGTCTCCACATGCACCTTGGCAGGACGGCACCCTCGGCCATCGTCACAGCCTGTGCTCAGACCCACCTGTCCACTGCACTCAGAAGACACTGGGGGGAATGACAGTTTAGAAATGGACACATGCACGTGCACCCACAGGTGTGTATGGTGTGTGTGTGTGCTGTGTGTGCTGTGTGTGCGTGTGCACGCAGGTTCCGGTGGTGCTTGCTGGTCTGTGTGTGCAGGCAGGCGAGTGCCGCGACTGCCACTAGAGGGCGGGCTGGGCTGGCTTCTGGGAGGCAGGACTGTGGGCAGGAGGCTCAGGCTCCTCTGTGGCTTGGCTCAGAGTGTCCTTGCAGACCTGGCCGGGGTCACCTGCCCCTTCTGGATTTGTGGGCATGTGGGAGGCGGTGGGCAGCATCCAAGCTTCTGCTATGGGGCTGGGCCGCGAGGCCTTCCTGGAAATAGCTCCTGAAGGTGTGTCTCATCTGTGTGGCGGGTGACGGCTGGGGGTTCAGGGAGTCAGAGGCGGGACTCTGTGCATCTCACCTTCTCAGGCTGCAGTGGAGGGACCCGGGTCTCTGGGGTCTCTGGCCCCACCTCGGCCCTGAGAAGTGAGCTTACCACATGTGTCCAGCCCTCTTCTCCGGCCCCCATCTTACCAATGGTCTATGTCTCCCTGGGGAGCTAGAGCTCCCCTGCGGTCAGGGCTGACCAGGGCATGCCCTGGAGTCCAGTGATCTGCCATGCAGGCCCTGGGGGCCCTGATATGCAGCCTCTGCTCACCATCAACCCTTCACGGAGATGAAAGGAAGTAACTGGGTGGGCAGTGTCCAGGGTGGCCCCCACTGGACACCTGTGAATATCCAGGACAGGGCTTCCTGGTGGCCAGCCAGACTGGCTCCCACTGGGAACAGAGAACAGGGGGACCCCTGGAGCCGGCCACACCGTGAACAGAGAACTTCAGTGAATTCACCCAGCAGTGATCTGACCATTTTCAATTTGAGAGCAGAGAAGAAACCACAGTGCTGTCCCGGGCTCTTCCCGCCTCTGCACAGCTCAGCATGCAGATTCCACAGAGCACCTGTCAATCACGCAGTGGCTGGCCTGACCTAGGGCCTCGAGGTCCTCCCCAGCAAGATGCACAGCCAACCAGGCCGCCTGGGACAAGCTGGGCCAGCAGCAGGGACCCTGAAGCTACCCTTGGCACTGCCCCTCCCTGTGACGACCAAGGCCTGTTCTACCTGCGAGGTTGCCAGCGTGACTCGCCCCACTCTGGGCTCTGTGCACCCAGCAGGTGGCCAGGGGTGAATCTAGGCTGAGGACCAAGACCCCGCACCCTTCCTTCCTGGGTGAGGCTGGAGCAGGGCAAGGGCTGCCCACCACTGCTCTGGAAGGGCCAGCCCCTCACGGGGCTGTGCATCTCTGTGCCAGCTTCCTGTGGCCTTCTGTTGGGACTCACACCTCTGGGGCTCCCCGGTGGTCACAGCTGGAATCCCCTTCCCCTCTGTGCTGAGCAGTGGAGCAGGCTGGCGCGCGCCTTCCCGTGTGGCTCAGCACCTGCCGCCTGCCCTTGTCTGCCCTGGGCATGAGTGCGGTCAGAGGGTCCCTGGGTGGTTGCCGTGGAGAGGTGAGGCGGCATGGTGGACACTGTGGGCAGTTCAGCCCTGCTTACCACATGACCCGGGAACCCTGCTCCAGGGAACAGATCCAAGGGCACTTCAGCAGCTCCCAGGAGCACCGTTTACACAGCCAACAGCCCACGTGACCGCAGGGACCAGACGCAGCCCATCTGCCCAGCGGTGACAGGAGGATACCGCTGCCTGCTGCCCACCCAGGAGCTCAGGCCGGGCAGGACAGCACACCCTGAGTGCCGCTGCTCCTGGGCAAGGTCCAACGGGGCAAGTCTGCAGAAGCAGGCAGGTGGGTGGCCGCCAGGGCTGGGGCGGTGGGGGATGGAGTGACGGTGAAGGGGTCTCCTCTGGGTGACGAATGCATCCAGGAGTTACGTGGAGGTGGTGGTCACTCAACGCACGCCCAAGCCCAAATTGCACAGTATACAGAGTGGACGGTGTGGCGAGAGCTATTTTCCAAGGTGTGGGCAGCAAAGCCCCAGGGGTCCTAGTGGGGCTGTGCATGGCTGGTGGCCCCAGGACAGACTCCATGGGGCCTGCAGGATGTCCCCACGTCACCGCAAGGCTGAGCCCTCCCCCAGCCCTAGCCCTCTCCTGCCACCGTGGTCCACTTTATGCTTTGAAAACCGCCCTTGCTGCTCTGCCACTTATTTTTAAAACGACCTTTCTTTCTCTCCTGTCCCTAATCTCAGGGGAGGCAGGGTCACCTTTCTTCCCCACCCTGGGCAGAGTGACCACAGGAATGAAGTAATTCAGACTTGGGGATGGCACCAGAACGTCTCAGAAATAACTACCTCCCAAATTAACAAAGGAATCACACTTCAGACAGAGAACACGTGGAACGTGGCCTTCGAATCGCCTCTTTAAAAACCTACGACTTCTGTTTATTCTGACAGTTAACATGACAGATGCCAGAGCAGGGACTGCTTGGTTCAATGCTGTGTATTGTCTGCATCGGGTGCCGTGGCTATTTGTCATAAACCCTGAGGTACGGGAGACTTCAGGGACACTCTAAGTCCACAGGGTAAGAACTCGACTGCCTCAGAGCCACACTGTGAAATGGGGAGACACACAACAACATGAAAAAGCAAGGGAACAAATTGCCCCAAACCAACCAAGATACCCCAATAACAGTCCCTCAACACCCCAGTGGAAGAATGTCAGAGAAGGAGTTTAGAATGTACACAGTTAAACTCATCTGTGAGGTAGACGATGCAAGGAGTGAAATCAGAGAGAAAATACAGGAAGTGAAATAAAGAGCAATTCTAAAAAAAAAAATCAAGCAGAAATATTTGAAATGAAGGAAACAATAAACCAAATTAAAAATTCACTTGAAAGCATCATGAACAGACTAGACCATTTAGAAGACAAAATTTCAGGCAGTGAAGACAAAATATATAATTTTGAAAATAAAGTTGATCATGGAAAAAAAGATATTAAGAGACCATGAGCAGAACTTCCAAGAAATATGGGTTAACATGAAAAGACCAAACTTAAGATTTATCATGATAGATGAAGATTGAAGATACAAACCAAAGAAATGCACTATCTTTTCAATGAAATGATATCAGAAAATTTCCCAAACCTAAAGAATGAAATGGAAAATCAAATGTAGGAGGCTTAGCAAATACAATATCACCCAAGACCCTAAATATACAGATACAACAGATCCACACCAAGGCACATTATTATGAAAATGCCTAAAATAGAGAATAAGGATAGAATTTTAAAGGCTGCTAGAGAAAAACTGTAAGTAACATCTTGTGAGAAACCAATCCAGATCTCAGCTGATTTGTCAACCCAGACACCCCAAAGCTAAAAGGTCTTGGAATAATATACATCAATCTCTGAGAGAAAATGGATGTCAGCCAAGAATACTATACCCAGCAAAATTAAGCTTCAGACAATGAAATTAAAACCTTCCATGATAAACAAAAGTTAAAAGAATTCAAAACTAGAAAGACTGCACTACAAAACATTCAATAAAATATTTCATGAAGGAAAAAATGGAAAATAAAAGTGAAAGCCAGCAAAATGAAGAACTACACTAAAGAACAGTCAGTCAAAGGAGAAACAAATTCAAATTAAAAACCAGAAATACATCAAAATGCAGAGGATAAAAATCATTTCTCAATAATAACATTAAATGTAAATGGTCCAAACTCATCAATCAAAAGGTATAGATTGGCAGATTGAATCAAAAGATGTATAGACTGGCAGATTGAGTTAAAAGACCAGACCCATTAATATGCTGTCTCCAAGAGACTCACCTCATGGGCAAAGACCTCCACAGAATGAAGGTAAAAGGACGGGAGAAAAATATCATTCACATGGGTCTTGTAAATAAGCAGACTTTTTATCCTCACATCAGATAAAGTGGACTTCAAGCCAAAGTTAATTAGATGAGACCAAAGGACATTTCATACTGCTTAAGGGAATTGTACATCAACAAGACATAACAGTCATAAATATTTATACCCCAAACAGTATACCCAAAGAGCGTATTCTTTCTTCATTAAAAGAATAGAAAGTCACCAAATAAATAACCAAACATTACATCTCAAAGCCCTAGAAGAAGAAGAACAAATCAACACCAACAGCAAAAGACAGGAAATAATTAAAATCAGAGCTGAAATCAATGAAATTGAAACAAGCCAAAAAAAAAAAAAAAGAAAGAAAAGAAAAGAAAAGCCGATAAGCCCTTAGCATACATAGCCAATGAAGAGAAAGAAAACTCATGTTACTAAAATTCACGATGAAAAAGGAAATATCACAACGAACACTACTGAAATACAGAAGATAATCAGAAACTATTTTGAAAATTTATATTATAATTGACAATCTTGAGGACATCAACAAATTTCTAGAGACATATGACCTCCCCACATTGAATCAGGAGGACTAGAAAATTTAAAATCGAAGGTGCCACCAAAAGCCTACCATCAAGGAGAAGCCCAGGAGCACAGGATTCTCACTGAGTCCTACCAGAGCTGCCAAGGAAGAGTCCACACCAACCCTCCTCCGATTATTCCATGAAACAGAAAAGGAGGAAACCCTCCCAACATCATTCTAAGAAGCTAGTGTGACCTTGATGCCCAAAACAGACAAGACAAATAAGGAAAAAAACTTCATGAGCATAGATAAAACATTCTTGATAAAATACTGGCAATATTTTGCATACAAAGACTTATTAAAAAGATTGTGCATCACGATCAAGTGGGGTTTATCCCAGGGACGCAAGGTTGGTTCAACATGCAGAAATCAATAAACATTGATAAACCAAAGACAAGAATCAAACCATCATCTCAATAGACGGAAAGAGAGTGTTTGACAAAGTACAGCACCCTTCATGTTCAAAACACTGTAAAACCAGGGATCTAGAAACAGACTTCAACACTGTAAGAGTATCCACGCTAAACCCAATCATTCTCAACAGAGAAAAAAGAAAACATGCCTTCCAAGAACTGGAACAAGACAAGAGTGCCCTCTTTCACTACGTTTATTCAACATGGTCCCTGAAACTCTAGCCAGAGCAATTAGAAGAAAGAAATTAAAGGGATACGGATAGGAAAAGAAGAACTCAAACTGTCACTATTTGCTGATGACATGATTCTTTTTTTTAAAAAAATATTTTATTTTTTTTAGTTCTCAGCGGACACAACATCTTTGTTGGTATGTGGTGCTGAGGATCGAACCTGGGCTGCACGCAAGCCAGGCGAGTGTCCTACCGCTTGAGCCACATCCCCAGCCCTGATGACATGATTCTATATTTAGAAGATCCAAAAAATTCCACCAGAAATGTTCTACAACTAGTAAATGAATTCAGCAAAATAGCAGGAGATAAAATCAACACTCAAGCCAAGTGCATCCCTATACATCAGTGATGAATCCACTGAAAGAGAAATTAGGAAAACTACCCCATTCACAATAGCCTCAAAAAGAAAAAATTGGGACTCAATCTAACAAAAGAAGTAAAAGTCCTCTACAATGAAAACTGCAGAACACTGAAAGAAATGGATGCAAATATCTCCCTTGCTCCTGGATAGGCAGAATTAACATGGTCACAATGGCCATACTGCCCAGAGTGTTATACAGATTCAATGCAATTCCTATTAAAATCCCAGTGACATTCTTCGTAGAAATAGAAAAAGCAATCATGAAATTCATTTGGAAAAATAAGAGACCCAGAATAACTAAAGCCATCCTTAGTGGGAAGAGTGAAGCAGGAGGCATCACTACACCGGACCTTACTCTATACTACAGAGCTATAGTAACAACATGGCAGGGTATTGGCCCCCAAACAGACATGTAGACCAATGGTGCAGAATAGAGGACACAGAGACAAACCCACAATAAAACAGTTATCTCAGACTAAACATTCACTGGAGAAAAGACAGCCTCTTCAACAAATGGTGCTGGGAAAACTGGGGATCCATAAGTAGAGAAATGAAACTAACCCCCTGTCTCTCACTGTGCCCAAAACCCACCTCGAGGTGGATCAAGGACCCAGCACGAGACCTGAGGCCCCGAGCCTAACAGAAGAAAACGTGGGACCCACTCTCCATCCTGGGGAGCCGACTTCCTCAACAGCTCCTAGCACAAGAAGTGAAGTCAAAATCAACAAATGGGATGGAATCAACTTAAAACCTTCTTCACAGCAAACAAAACAATCAATCATGTGAGGAGAGAGCCTGCAGAGTGGGAGAGCATCTTTACCACATGCACCTCTGATAAAGCATTAGTCTCTGGGATATATAAAGAACTCAAAAAACTTGACACCCAAAACCCAAATAACCAGTCAATAAATGGGCCAAGGAACCGAACAGACACTTCACAGAAGAAGAAATACAATTGAGCAACAAACATGAAAAAGTGTTCAACATCTGTAGCAATTAGAGAAATGCAAGTCAAAACCGTACTCACTCCATCTCCAGTCAGAACGGCCATCATCAAGAATACAGGCAACAAGAAATGTGGGCGAGGACGTGGGGGAAAGGCACCCTCATCCCACATTGCTGGTGGGACTGCAAATTGGTGCAACCACTATGGAAAGCAGTGTGGAGACTCCTCAGAAAACTGGGAATGGAACCACCATTTGGCCCAGCTATCCCACTCCTTGGTTTATACTCAAAGGAATTAAAATGAGCATATATAATGACACAGCCACATCAATGTTTATAGCAGCTCAATTCACAATAGCTAAACTATGGAACCAACAACCCAGGTGTCCTTCAACAGATGAATGGATTAAGAAAATGTGGTATGTATATATCCAATGGAATATTACTCAGCTTTAAAGAAGAGTGAAGTTATGGCATTTGCAGGGTGGAGCTGACCCGTGGCAGGGCACATCCTGGGTCCAGTGCTGGCTGGACCCTGAGAGCCACCAGGTTCTCTTGGGCTTCTCTTGAGTGGCCACCAGTCTCTGCCGCCTGCACAGCAGGGCCTCCCTGGGGACCGTTACGGTGCCAGCTCGGGGGCTGGTCCACGGCAGCTGCAGGTCCCCTCTACTGCCCCTCCCTGCCCACGCAGGAGACAGTCCTCGGCACCCCTAGAGGGCCCCGCCTGGCCCCACAGCCCGTCTCACCTCTCGGTCCAGGCCTGCTGCCACCGTCACGATGTCCCCTGTCTCGCTGTTGATGGTGAACATGTTCTGGGATGGGCTCTGAGGGGTCTGGGTCACAATCCGGTACCGCACCATGCCGTTGGCCGTGGTGCCGTCGTCTGCGTCATTGGCTGTGACTGTCATCACGTAGGTGCCTGTGAGGGGGGAGAGCAGCTCAGGTGGGGTCTGCACCAGCTCTGTCCCCACCACACACGGGGGGGACCTCGCCATTCACCCCAGGATGCTCAGGGCAACAGGTGTGGCTGGTGCCTGTCGCCTGCCAGGGCGCCCAGGTGGCCCTGAAAGTGAGCCCATCCCTGCTGTGAGCGGTTCTCCTGAGCCGGGCGAGGCTCCCGCAGTGGGTGCCCCGACATCTCCCCCTCAGCGCGTGGTCCCAAGGCCTGCACAGGAGCGCCTCTCCAAGCCCTGCAGGGTGGGACATGCTCAGGTGGCCGGCGGCCCCCAGGTGTCCTGCCAGGAGCCTGCTCAGCTTCCAGGTTTACTGAGGGAAACACTCCACAGGGTGCATGTTAGGAGAGCAGGTCCAGCACAGGAAGGGGGCGTGTATTTGCAGGTGCAGGGTCTGCGGTCTCATCTCAGGCAGGTACGTGGGACCATTGACCGACTCAGTGGGCAGAGGGCGGGTGTGGAGGTGGTAAGGGAGGGTCCAGCGCCAGGGGCTTCCAGGTGCTGGGCAGCCGCTCCTCCATCACCAAGACACAGCTGCACTGAGGTGTGGTCCACACACCACGACGCTTGTCCTTTAAAGTACAGTTGTGTGGTTTCTGTGTCCCCGCGGGGTGGTGTGACTTCACACGGTCTAGTCCCAGGACATTTCCCGTGGCCTTAGGGAGCTCGGCACCTTGAGGACTCACTCCCCGTCGCCCCTCCCCAGCCCTCTGGCTTCTGCTCTCTGGGCTCATCCTCCTGGAGACTTGGACAAGGAGCTATGTCACATGTGACCTTTGGCCTCTGGCTTCCTTCACCACACCCGAGGTCCCTTCCTTTTGAGGCTGAGCACTATTTCACTGTATGGGGACATTCACGCCATCACCGAAAGTGCACCTGCCACATGTAGGGCCTCGTGCTCTGGGCAGCAGACAAACACTGTCCCTGTCCCTTACAGGCTGGTGTGGGAGGACCAGACCCATAGGTAAAGAGACACATGATGCAAATTGTGGCAAGTGCGTGGCAGAGAGGAGAGACTGTATGCAGGGACCACTGCAGACGCAGGACAGCTGGGTGACAAGGTGGACTACAGAGGGCACAGCCAAGGCCTTGCTGAGAGACGGAGGGATGGGGGACCCTGCATAGAGGGGCTAACACCCTGGGCAGAGAGAGTCCTGCATGATAGAGACGGGGAGGGCATCTGGGGTCAGGGTGGCTGGGTCCATGCTGTCACTCCATCCTAAGATCCCAGGGAAGCCAGCAGTGGACGGTCACCAGGGGACTGAAGTGACCAGCCTGGTGTTCCTAAGACGGAAAACAGACTGCAGGCGGCGGGGGGCGGGGGCTGGTGGAGAGCACAAGGCTCGTTCCCTCCCAGGGTGTTACAGACCAAGGGACATCTGCTCGTTCCTTTGGCACTCCTCCCCGTGTCTGCTGGGGAAAACACCAGAGAACTGCGTGTTTTGAAGTCCTAAGAAAAATCCACAAACAGACCTGCTGTAATTCACATGAGCAGTTGTGTGCAAACCTAATTATTATTAATTGATATATAGTTAATCATCAATAGAGTTTCACCAAAGACACTGGGTATGTAAAGAGAATCTGGAAAGTTTTGTGTTTAGCAAAGGTGAAGAATGTTTTCATCAATCTTCCTCCCAAGGAGAACTAGAAAAGCTGGACAAAAAATAAGTAAATAAAATAAAACCACCTGTGGGGAGGCCCTGGAGAGCGTCCAAGGGGCAGTGCTGGGAAAGGGGCTCTCAGGACCCTCTTCTCCCAAGGCCTTTCCTGATGGCAGAACTGGCCAGGGAAAGGCTGAGGAGCGGCACGGGCTCACAGAAACGCAATCAAAGACCAAACTTCAGTCTTGCCAAGGCGGATGGGCCCTGGGAGGTCTCTGGTCTTTACGTTGGACCTTGAGGTGCAGCACCCTAGAGAGAGTGAGTGATGTGGGAATAAATAGTCCTACCCATAATAGCAATGATCCTCCAAGGAGAAAGCAGCAGCACACCTGGCCTCAAGTTAAGGCCACAACCGTTTGTGAACAATGCGCAGCATTTGATTACTAAGTATACAAGAAGACAAAACCTGACTGAAAACAAAGAGAGAAAACAGACATCAACCGCTCCAGGGGAGAGTCAGGTAATGAAGAAGTCAGATGCAAACTTAAAAGAGAAACAGCTCACTATGCTCAGGGAGTTAAAAAGATAAGAGGAAAATTTGGCCAGAGAACTAGAAATCATTTAAAACAAATAGAGTGGGAAAACTATATCTGAAAAACAACTGAAATTAAGAATGTGAGTGGGCATAACAGTAGATCAAATATTAATAAAGAGAGCGTTAACTGAAAGATAGAGCCAAAGAAAATATAGACCAAAACAAGCCAGAAAAGTTCAGAAGAATCATATGAAACTTTAGGAGATTCCTCAAATGTGTAATTGAAGCCCAGACAGCCAAAAAGAGACGATAGGGCAGGAGAAATCTTAGGAGAGGAAATGGCTGAAAAGTTTCCAAAGCCAATAAGAAAACAAGTCATGGATTCAGGAAGCACTATACCCTAAGCAGGATGAATCAAAGCCAGTCACGTATGGCAAATGGCTAAAAGGCAAAGCCAAAGATAAGAAATTTTAAAGCAACTGGAGATTTTTTTTTTAAAGGGATAAAGCCTTTAAAGGAGCAATAAGACTTAAATGTGACTTCTCAATAGAAATAGCCAGAAACAATGGGATGAGAGAAAGTAGCAAAAGAATAAACATTATTCTTCATTTGGTGAAATCCCCAAACTTTCTAAAATGAAAGTACAATAAAGACACTAAAATTTAGACGATCAAAACAGGTGATTTGTCACCTGGACACCTACACTAAGGAAATACTGAGGGCTGAGGGAAAATGGCCCTGGAGGAGGCCACAAAGGCAGAGCTGGGGGGCGGGGTTGTCCCCTCACTCAAACTGTCCACACAGAGAAGAGCAGGAGCTGGAGAGTGCGGAACGCTTCAGGTGGCCATGATCACACTGCTGACCGAGGTCCCCCAGCCCACCGGGCTGGACCTGCAGTCCTTCACCCGCGAAGCGAATCCGAGCCTGAGTGCAGCTCTAGCCTTCTGCTGGTGGGAAGCTCAGCCCTGAGCCAGGGACTCCTGGGCTCTGTGTTGGGCAGTGTTTGGAGCCGCCCAGCCGGGGAGCCAGGCCTGGACGGTTGCCAGGGCTGGAGGTGGCAGGACAGGTCCTTCTGTCGGAGGCCCAGGAAGCAGCCACTGCAGCTTTCTGAGGCCAGCGGCTCCCTGCGCCCCACACTCCCTGTCTCCCAGGTGAGTGTCCCCCTGTGAGGACTTGCCTGGCAGGCAGGGGCTGTGCCACTATGGGGAGGGTGGCAGGCTGCCCGCACGGGCGAGGGAGTGGTGACCGGGAGCCAGGGCCGGGCGCACTGGCTGGGTTGTAAGAAGCATCAACACTTCTGGCTGGATGGGGACTCAGACTCTTCTGAGCCCCTTGACTGGCTGCCCCGCCCCATCACGGGGTCCTTCCATGAGCCCCGCCGGCCCGGTGCCCAGGAGCACCCACTCCTTGCGACTCGGAACAATCCCGGGTGGCTGCCTGCAAGTCTGGTGCCAAGCACACGCAGGGGCTAGGGAGCAGCCTTCCTGCTAAGCTCAGGAATCTCGATGCAGAACCAGATGACACACGTGATGGTTGGTTTCTGGTGACAGAAAAGAGGCATATGTCTGTGTCCTCTATGTTTCCCCCCAAGAGCAAGTGTTGCTTGACATCAGAACATAAAATGTTATAGAGGGAGAGAGGGAGAGAGAGAGTGAGAGAG